TTTGAACTTCAACTCCCAGAATTCCCCAACTTTAAGATGGCTGGACTTCTGGGAGTTGAAGTCCACCCATCTTAAAGTTGCTAAGATTGAGAAACCCTGGTTTGGAGTGAGAATAGATTGTGATGGCTATTTTTTTTAAAAATGCACGCAAACAGGCCAACCTTTGTCCTTGTCCACATCATGGGAGAAACAAATGGAAGCCTCCTGGATTTCTAGACAGATGGCAGTAAAATGAATCTCTCCAGACACACAGCAGAAGCTATATTGCACCTTTAAAGACAGGCTTTTAAAAAAAAAGTTACGAAACCTTGAGTGCATCACGTTCACCTGAGCAGATGCAGGTTGTAGAACCTGTTGATGAACTTCCTTTGTCCCGGATACCTGAAGATCCCGGGCAAAATACCTTAGAAGGCTAGAATACCCCCCTACACAGACACACACACACACACACACACACTCCCAATTGTTTTTTAAATATTGCCAATTTGGGAAATCGAGTGGACTTCAGGATCTGCCCCTCCCAACAATCCTGCAGGAGCATTGCTCAGAATGGGGTTTTTCTTCACTGTTGGGGTCAATATTTTATGTGTTTTTCGGTTGGTGGGTTGTTATATTTTGGTCCCATCTTTTCTTCAGGAGCTCAGGGTTACTTCTGTGGCAATCTGACTTTATGTTGTTCCCGGAACAACAACCCTGCGAGGTAGGCTGTCACCCAGAGGGTTTCCGAGGCAGATCTCCCCAAGCTAGCCCGGCACCTTCACCACTAGCCACGTGGGCACGAATGTCCTCTGCAAAAGAGTGACTTCTTAGTCCTGAGGGAGCCCAGATGTGCTCTGGGCCTGAGAGAGGAACGCCTGGCCTCTCCTTCTGGGCTCCCTACGGGTTCCGGGAAGAAAGCTGCCGTCTGGACCCACTGACCTCACCTGGGGCATTAATGTGGTGGGGGGGGAGAAGGGTCCCTGGTTTTCTCACACACGCGCATCCCGAGAAGAAGAGCCACAGCACAGGGTGGACTTTGCTTTCCAGCCAGTCTCAAGTTCTGCTTCGTTCCCAATGCTTCCAGGGGAAAGAATTAGGGAGCAGGCAATGGGGGGAAGAGAAGCTTCCTTCCTCCTCCTCCTCCTCCTCCTCCTCCTCCTCCTCCTCCTCCATTAACTTCCTGTTCTTTCTCCTCCATCATCTTCCTCCTCCTCTTCCTTCTCTTCTTCTCCTTCCTCTTTCGTCATCTTTTTCTTCCTCCTCCTCCTCCTTCCTCCTCTTCCCCCTCTTCTTCTCCTCCATCATCTTCTTCCTCCGTCTTCTCCTTCTTCACGTGCAATGAATATTCTGTGCAGCCAACATGTTTGGATTTCACTCTCCAGAAGCCCACGCTGGGTGGGTATTCTGGGAGTTGTAGTCCCAAGAGACCCAGTTTGGTGTAGTGGTGAAGGCACTGGGCTAGAAACGGGGAGATGGCGAGTTCTAGTCCCGCCTTGGGCATGAAGCCAGCCGGATGCCCTTGGCCAGTCCCTCTCGCTCAGCCCAGGAAGGAGGAGGCAAGGGCAAGCCACTTCCAAAATTTTGCCAAGAAAACTGCAGGGACTGGTGCAGGCAGTCGCCAGGAGTCAAAAACTGACTGGAAGTCACCCCCCCCCCACGAAAAAAGGTCCCCAGAGCACTGGAGGGTGCCAGGTTAGGGAAGGGCATGCTGCACAGAAGGTGCTTAGGGGTGTGCAAGTGGAAGGAATTATGGGGGCCTTTGCGCCCTGGGCATCTGAGCACGTTCTCCCCCTGTTCCTCTCCTGGTTTGCCAACTCAGAAAAGGCCAGTGGAGACCAGGCAGCTCCTGAAATACGCAGCCAATCCCCCCTGGAGTGGGGAGCAAGAGGAGCCTCACGGGTCAGTGGGACCCCCAGCTTGTAAAAGTAGGTTTCACAGCCGAGGCTGTGTGGTGCAAGAAGACTGGGTGCATTCGGGGACAGGCTGCGTTGCCATTGGGACAAGTGCATAAGTGTCTGTTAAAAGTGGCAGTGATGTCCATAACGTCAGAATTTGTATAATGCTCGTGATCTCATTTGCCCTCCCCCCCTTGAGGCCCATGGATGTGTGGCTGCAGGTGGAGGGCATGTATTGTGGGGGGAGGGGGTGTGCTGTTCTTAACCTTATTGGTTTGCTGTTTCACCTTTATGTATTGCGGTGAGGAGGAGGAGGAGAAGGAGAAGGAGAAGGAGAAGGAGAAGGAGAAGGAGAAGGAGAAGGAGAAGGAGAAGGAGAAGGAGAAGGAGAAGGAGAAGGAGAAGGAGAAGGATGGTCTTGAGTCACTGCAAAGTCAGCTGGACTTTGGGTGTCTGCAGGATATGGTCAAAAAAATCAAGGGGTAACCTAAATGAACCCCATCCTTACAAGAAAAAAGCTAGAAGTCTTGGGGCTCTTTAGCTTGGAAAAAAAGATGACTGTGGGGAGAGAAGACTGAGGTCAACAAAAATAACGCTTGACCTGGAGAAAAGGAACAGCAGAAGGATGTTCTTGCTCCGGTCCAAACGCTTGGACTGAGGGTCATCCAACAATGCTGACTGGAAGGAAATTTAGAACAGACAGATAAAGCATTTCTTCAAAGGCACATCATTAACCTGCGGGATTCGTTCCCCACAAGGCATGGGGATGGCCACCGACTGGGGTAGCTTTCAATGGGGATTGAATCTGTCCAAAGAGGACATTTAGTTTTGAAAACTCCATGTTACCTCCTCAGTGGGGCAGCCAGCTGCAGGAAAACGATGCAGGGAGAAGGGTGTATCCCCATCTTCTGCTTGCAAGAATCTCAGAGGCATCTGGTTGGCCATTATGAGAAACAAAATGCTAGACTAGGCGGATCTTGGCCTGATCCAGCACAGCTGTTCCTATGTTCTTATGTTCTTCAAATAGGATGATGGCCACTAACTTGGTTGACTTTCAAAGTGAGTTGGATAAATTGATGGAGAGCAGGTCTGTTGAGGGCTCTTGGTCCTGAAGACTCCATGGGACCTTCAGGTTGGGGGCAACGTGCCTCCGGACCCCAGGTGCAGGGAAACAACAGTGGGAGGAGATTCTGTCTCCATCTTTTGCTTGCACCCAAAGGCACCTGTTGGAAACAAAATGCAGGATTAAGATGGGCTTTGGGCTGACCTAGCAGAGCTGTATGTAGGTCCTTATTAGCAGTCTGTAATATTTGGATCCAGAACCTTGATGGCTAATTCAGATCCAAATGTTCTTTCTCATCCTACACACTGACTTTTCTGCACTAGCCAGTTAGTTCTAATGGGTTGTCTGTAAAATTCTCTGAGATTTTTAAATGTTTAAGGACTTAGTAGATTTGGGTGGTGCTGTAGCAAAAAATCATATCCACATGACTGCACGGTGAGTGCTTCTCCCTGCAGCAGAGCTGGGCGATGGTCTTTCCAGACCAGCCAAACAGCCAGAATCTGGTCTCTGCAAATTCTGGGTAGATCAATGATTTTGTCAACCGCTCTGTTGAATAGGGTGAAGGAGAGACTGGATCTTGCAGCTGTTGTAGGAGGAGAGCCGGTTTAGTTTATGATAGCCAGAAATCAGGAGGACTCTGGCAGAACCTTTTCCATCTAACAATTTTATTAAAAGGCAGAAACTTTAGTGGCATTCACCGCTTGCCAAGATGGGGGTGTTGCACGATCTCGTGCCCCAGGGCACTCAACCAGGAAAGAAGATTGCTTGGAACGCTGACTCAGATTTGTCTGGAAGTTAAAGGACTCTGTGACCGGTTCTGCATTTCGCTTCATGCAGGGCTTCTGGTTTGGGTTTTGCAGATCGTAGTAAAAACCTTCCCCCCCCCCCAGGTGTTGGACCCTCGTTCCCAACCTTCTAGTCACTGGAGGACTCTAGGTCAAGGAAACGTAGGGAATCCCTCTTTTCCAGCCTTCTCATTCCCTGTCTTTCTTGTGTTTGGACTCTAATTCCCAGTATCCCCAGCCAGGATGGGTATGCTGCTTGGAAATTTGCAGAGCTGGGGGGACCCCAGCCTAGGGGAAGAATGGGTCCAGATGCAGTGTTTCTCAACCTTGGCAACTTGAAGATGTGTGGACTTCAACTCCCAGAATTCCCCAGCCAGCATGGCTGGCTAGGGAATTCTGGGAATTGAAGTCCAGCCATCTTAAAGTTGGGGAAT